ATTTTTCAGACAATAAAACTGTAATAATTGAAACTTTGTAAATTTCAAAGTACAAAAAAAAGTAAAAATTGTAAAAAAAAACTATTATTTTAAACAATTATTCAATTAAAACTAAACAATAACTTTAAATGTAGATAATATCAAGTAGATCAATTTTTCTATCTATCTATCTTTTCATCTATCCTTGCACAAAAATGTGACCTTCAACTTGTAGATACGAATGCAACCTTTCTCATATACAATTTTGTTTAATTCAATTCCTTACACAGTCTATCAAGAATGCGTCTATACATCATTCTTTTCTATTGTTTCAAATCGAAATGTCACTTTACATACTTAAAAATTGCTTTTCATAAATTATTAATACTTTGCAAAAAAAAAAATCCACGTTGTCCTTGACATCGCGTCTGTTCGGGCCAAACATTAACAAATTCAATTTTCGCTTTGCAAATGAAATTACAATTGAAACTATTCCTAACATTAGTTTTTAATCACGTTTATTATCATCAGTTTGTACTCGTTATGCTATAATTTCTAACTTCTTTAACCTTGGAAATTCATATTTAAACTGTAATGAATTATTAATCACATTTTAGCGATTTTCTCAATAACTACAATGGATAGAATTGATTCAGAAGATTCATATGAAAGTTGGATACTTGGGGAATGCAACATGTATTCAACTATTGCTGTAGTTTCACCCGTTTGACTATAATTCGCATTCATAAATAAAGAAATGAAAAAAGTAGTGTCTTCGCATTTTAGTGATTTTCTTAGAAACTATAATGGATAGAATGGATCCAAGAGATGCATATGAAAGTTGAATGTTTGGAGAATATAAAGTAAATTGAATTAATGCTGCAGTATCGTCCATTTGGATGCAATTCGTATTCAAAAATTAACTCTCAAAACGTTGTCCTTGAATCAATTCAATTTTTGCTTAGCAATAAAATTACAATTCAAACGGTTCCTAACATTTGATGATGAAAATCACGATTATTATCATCATCAGTTTGTTCTCGTTATGCTATAATTTCTAACTTCTTTGACTTTGAAATTTCATATTTTTAACAAATATTATATCAATGTATTTCTATATAGAATTTTGAAGATAAGCGAGCTTAAATATTTGTTAATTAAACATTCTCATTGTTTTATTTCTGTTAGTAATTAAAAGTAAATACAAAATTTAAGTCAATGTAGACTGGATGCTTTCTTAAGGCTACAAATTATTAAAGCTAAAAACATGGTTATTGCAATAATCGGAATAATAATTTATAACTAATTAATGTTCATAATTTATTGGGCACTTAAAAATTATATGCAATTATTTAATTATCTAAAAAAAAGTAATATTTCCATTAATATGCATCAAATATTACGACTGACGTAAACTTGATCCTGTTTGTTGTGTGCGTAAGTTTTGTTTATAAAAAAAAATTGAGTGCGGTGACGATTTATATTTTGACGCAGACGATTAAAATAATTCGTGCAATAAAATGAAATGAATCACCACGCATTGTATCCAATCATTCAAGGAAAGTTATTTGGCTTCTGCCTCATTTCCCCTTTCGTGACCCACATGGAAATATCAATGAAAACGATGCACATTTTGTGGTCAAGTTTTGCATCTATTTTTCATGCATTTCTTGAATCATACAATTAATTATATTTAAAGCTTTTGAAATATTTGATTTTTCCAAAATATGTTAACAAACAAAGTATTAAACAAATAAATGAAACACAAGTATAATCTATGTGTCAATATGACCGTTTATTAAATATTAAAAAGTGCACTAGAAAATACTAGAATGTCAACTCGCTCAAATAAAAAACAACAGCATGTAAATATCAAGTGGGTCACTCTGATCCATCTTTGGTAGTTACGGGTTAAATTATATAAACGAATTCATTTTAAATTAATTTGCTAAGATATTTCACATTGTTAAATTTATGTATTAATTATTAAAAATGATTTAACTATGTTTTTTGTTTGTCTTATGAATGAAATACGGAGAGCGGAAATGAATTTGCTTATATGTTTTTTTTAATATGTTTTCCCTAATAAATATTTAGAGTAATTTTTATATCATTTTATTGCAGTGTTCATAGAGAGAGAAAAATGTGAATAGTCCAGAATGATTTTGCTTTAAATCAATACATATTTATATAAATGATTTAACATTTGAGAAATATCCATTTTGCGAAACGAAATAATACGTAAATTGTTGTAATTATTATACCAATTTGTAAATAAGTTACATGTTATTGATCTTTCGTTCCTACGTACAATACTGATATAAGAGAAGATTTAGTTTCGATCGTAATAAAAATATGCTTCGTCTCGATGTGACAATCAAGAGTCAAATTATAAATAAATTAAGGTTAAGTATTTTGTGTTTGCAGGTAAAGTTAGGTTAGGTTATTAGCTGTCACAAAATAATTATATTCCATAGAATTAGGTTAATTTTTTTTAAAGGTTAGGTTGCATCAGAATCAAGAGTCGTCCATCAAAATCAAGGGCTATCACTTAATAATATTAATCTAAACTAACCTATACTCAATAAGTACATTTTTGCAAATCTTTGATAATTGAGAAATTTTCAATTATAGAATATGATGATTTTTTTTGTGGCAAATTTGTTTTTGTCGAAAATGTTTACGTTTTTTCTGAAAACTCATATGAATCATTTAATTGCGGTGGAAACACAAAGAAAATGTGTTTTTTTTTATTATTTTTATATAAGGTCATCAACGTAACACAAAGAGAGAAGAAAATATTATTACCTTTAAAATGGTTCGGTTTTAATAACAACATGATTCACAATTAATGCGCGTTATTGTGCACAAAGGTGATTGCGATTTATTTATAAATTATTGTTCTCTTTATTTGGCAATAAAACTCACATATCTATTTTTAAATAATTTAAACTGACACTAACCAAGTTAGTCTTAATGTTTAATTAATTTGTAATTATACTATTTAGCACGTTTAAAAATTAAATAATTCTTTAAGAAACTAAGAGATATAATAGATCCAAAAGTTGGATATTTGGGGAAGTAATGACAAATTATCGCTTTATAATGTCTTCACATTTGTGTTTTTTCTCAAAAACTATAATAAATATATTGTATCTAAAAAATCACGTGAGAGTTGAATATTTGGGGAATGCAACGAGTTTTCGACTATTTTTATGATTTCATCCATTTGTCTGTAATTCACATCCAAATATGATCAACTGTAATAGATAGAACAAATCCAGAAGAAATTTGAATATTTGAGGAATGTAACGAGTATTCGATTATTTCTATGGTTTCATCGATTTGGCTGTAATTCACGTCCAAATATGAAATCAAAATTAATGTTAAAAAAAGGAGTGTCTTCACATTTTAGTGATTTTCTCATCAACTGTAATATTTAGAATAAATCCAGAAGATGCATATGAAAGTTGGATATTTGTGGAATGCAACGAGTATTCAATTATTTCTATGATTTCATCCATTTGGCTGTAATTCACGTCCAAATATGAAATCAAAATTAATGTTAAAAAAAGGAGTGTCTTCACATTTTAGTGATTTTCTCATCAACTGTAATAGATAGAATAAATCCAGAAGATGCATATGAAAGTTAGATATATGAAAAATGCAACGAGTATTCAATTATTTCTATGATTTAATTGATTTGTTCTAAATTAAAGTTCCAAATACACTCTCTTCACATTTTAGTCACTTTCTCATAAACTATAATAAATAGAAAAAAATCCAGAATATGTATATGAAATTTGGATATTTGAGGAATGTAACGTGTATTCAATTATTGCTGTCGTTTTATCCATTTGTCGGTAATTAGTGATTTTCTCAAAATCTATAATACATTTAAATTATATAATATATTACACTATTTATATTTATTTATATTTATCGTATTTAACAAATAACTTTGTTAAAGAAAGAAGTAAAGGTAATCTTTGTCGTAAATAGTTCAATTAATTACAATTAGAGTACAATCAAAACTTTACGAACCAATTATAAACTTCAATATCAACGTCATATGTTTCCATGAGTACTATAATTTGTGAAACGGTAATATCACGTTGCTACTTAAGTACTTGTTATGTTAATTAACTGAATTAAAGTTTATTTTTGTTTATACTTCGCAATAAAAGTTTAAATGGTTAAGTTTATTTTATCGTCATTACAATTATCATTACTTCGCTTATAGTAGCAATTAATGCATAATTAATGTTCAAAAAAAGATCTAATTATGGAGAAAAAAAAATGTGCAATAACAATTGCGTTCCATAAATAAATAATTATATGATATACGTACCTTTCGTGTTTCAATTGTTGACGGCGCACAAAACAAACACAGTTTCCTCGACAACTCAAAAAACAAAATATGTCAAATTTATATGAAAAAAAATTGATTTCTTATTTTTTTTTTATTATGAGTATTCAATTTGACTGTCCTCTGTTAATAATTATAATAATATATTCGTTTTCATACATATACAATATTTTCTTCTTCATAATTTTATATTATAATTATAATATTTAAATATATATTTATATATATATATTTATACGCACTCGATCTCTTCTAATAATAACAAAATGATGATGATGATATAAAATTAGCCGAAGAGGGATATTTTGGGTGTCACTTTGGAAGACTTTGGGATGAATTTGCAAAAGCGCGAATCAAAACTAGTTGCATTAAATTGGAAAGAAATGTGCCGGGTTTCGTCGAGTGATCTGTGGTGATTTAAAGGTTTTGTGATTGGTTGCTGACTTCAGAGACAACAAAATCGCAGATGTTTAAAATATAATAATAATAATAATAAATTATTTTGAATTGATTAACTATAAATCGATAAAATAGTATAAATTAACGCGCTAAAAACGAAATCGCTTTTGTTTAAATCAAAGAAAAACGTCGTGTTTCGTTCTCTCTTTCTGTTTCTCGTTTCTTTTTTCCCTTCGCTAGATTAAAAAAATATATCTTATGTATGGGATTCCCTATACAGCTCTAATTGAACAAAACGGAACTAGGGTCTTCGTTATCCATCTGCTTCACGTGTCTCAGCACATCCTTCTTCGTAATCACACCCAAAAGACGTCTGCGAAATGAAAGAAACAAAGAAAAAAACAATTAAATATTTTTGAAGGATTCAAGGATTGATTGATTTTACCCATTGTGTGTGACTAGGGTTTGTCTGAGGCCCAATTTTCTGAACATGTCGACTACAGTTTCCATCGGCGTTTGATCGGTGATGGTGATTGGTGCCATGTCCAGGATCTTCTTCAGCTTCAATGGAGGTGGTCCCAAAGTTTGGGGCGGGTTTCCGCTGGAGAACACGACCAAGGACTGTCCACAAATTCCGTCCACCAATCGCTTGGCGTTCGCTACAAGAATAGGCAAATAGGCGTTACAATTGATGATTCGAAGATGGTTTTTGTTTTGTTATACCTATAGCCAGATTTAGGTCTCTCCGAAGAACGAATCCGACCAGGTACTGCGATTCTCTGGAGACGACCACCGGATATCCGTTGTGTTCCGTCTCCTTCAGGAGATTCTCGACGTCGTCCATGGTCATCGAATCTTGGGTTATTACGCTCAGTGTCTCGTTTCGTCTGGTTTGAACAAGATAAGAATGATTATTATTAATGCGCTGATGATACAATGAACTTCGCACCGAAGTCACAACATAAATATAACATGTTTTCTCCATCATTTGAACGAATGCAATACAAAATATAATCGATATAAATAATGAATTTGTGTTTATATCCGTTACAATTTGAGAAAATTTTAAGTTCTTTGTAAAAATATCTTAAATTTTTGTAAACAATAATACTATGGATGTTTATAATTTCGATAATTTACTGTCTTTCATTGGAAAATTTTTAACATATATAAAAAATATTACAACAAAATATTGTATTAACAATTTGTTAATAATTACAAAAAAAAAGTACTATATTTTCACTATAATATTATTAAGAAATTTATCAACAAAAAAAAAACTAAATACAATTTAAACTGCTTTTATGACATAAATTAATTCATTATTTCCGAAATTATACTTTCTTTCTAAAACTTATTCAAAGAAATATGAAATATGAAAAAGTTTATTAATAATGAAGATTTTTCGATAATTATTCCATTTAAAATTAAAATATCAATATATTATTCAAAATTAGTCTTTTAAAAACATAATTTTGCAATATTATTACAAATAATTACAAAAAAAATAATGTTTTATACTTTCTCTATAATATTATTAAGAAATTTATCGAAAAACAAAACGAAAAATAATATAATAATTGCAGTTATAATCAAATTTCCTAATTATTCATAATTAGTCATTTCTAATAGTAATTTGCAACATTATTATAAAATATTATCCAAAAGAGAAAAACAAAAATATGTGCGTATCAGCATCATAACATTACGTGCATACAATAACAAATTTCAGCTAATTGCAAACCAAACAAAAACACAATACGTCTCGTTATCAAATTATTCTGTAGTAAACAAGTTAATATACCAGAATTAACCATAGATGCGACGACAGATTGATATTCTACGCATTAAATATACATAATTATTTTGTAGTAATCTTCAACATTTGCGTTTTTCTACACGAGAATTATAAAAAAATCTCTATTATTTGTGGATTTCGATATTACATGATTGCCGGTCATCATTTTGCACGCACCAACATTGCAACAATAAAATTACTATGATTTTTTCTTGAAAAACAAAAAAATTAGTAATTTTTCTAACAGGTTTATCTCTCTCGAGTCTAGACGTTAATTTACATAATTACATTCAAATAATATATAATTATTTGCATCGGCCTCGAAGATGCAACAGAAACTGTATTATGATATTTTTCTAAACTTATTTTTTTGCAGGAAATAATTCAATTTTACTAAATTTATATGTTTTTCCATTAAAATTGTAACATGCAATTATTATATAATGCAAGTATATGCATAAATATACAAATATAGAACACTTATGACCAATTAAATTAAATTTACAATTATTTTTATGAGTTTAAAAGTAATTATTAGAAAAAAAGCGCATAATGAATCATACAATATTGTCCAGCTGCTTATTTCTAGTTATATATTGAGTAAATTAATATACAGCTCTACCTCGCATAGTCCGGTACTGTTTAAAACCGGACTAATTAAAGCATAAAATATTATTTTTATTTTGTCCAATTCAATTTTTGGTTTTATTTTGGTTTGATCGAATGAATCCGGACTATGCGAGGTATTGACTATAAAAATGGTAACGTTTTGGAAAATTATGTCGTATTATTTAAAAAACACTGCAATTGCTATTCTAAAATCCGGACTAATCGAAGACTTTCAAAACGCATAAAATATTATTTTTATTATGATCAATTAAAATTTACTTTTCGTTTGATCGACTGAATCCGGACTATGCGAGGTATTGAAATAATAATGTTCCATATAATTATGTCGTATTCTTTAAAAAAACACTGCAATTACTATTATAAAATTCGTACTAATCGAAGACTTTCAAAACGCATAAAATATTATTTTTTATTTTGCTCAATTTAAAATTACTTTTGTTTTGTTCGAGTGAATCCGGACTATGCAAGGTATTTACTGTGAAAATGATAACGTTTTGGAAAATTATGTCGTATTCTTTAAAAACACTACAATTACTATTACTTTAAAAACGTATAATATATTATTTTTATGTTTCTCAATTAAAATTTCCTTTTAGTTTTGATCAAGTGAATCCGGACTATGCGAGGTAATGACTTTGAAAATGATAACGTTTTGAAAAATTATGTCGTATTCTTTAAAAAACACTGCAATTACTATTACAACATCCGGACTAATCGAAGACTTTAAAAACGCATAAAATATTATTTTTATTTTGATCAATTAAAATTTACTTTTAGTTTTGATCGAGTGAATCCGGACTATGCAAGGTATTGAAATTATAATGTTTTAGATAATTATGACGTATTCTTTAAAAACACTACAATTACTATTATAAAATCCGGACTAACAGAAGACGTTCAAAACGCATAAAATATTATTTTTATTTTACTCAATTAAAATTTACTTTTGTTTGGATCGAATTAGTCCGGTATTGCGAGGTATTGCTGTTTGACTATCAAATGTTTTTTTTTTGATAATTATTATTTAAAAACATTACAATTACTAATATAAAAAAATGTTATAGTCTTTGTTCAAGTTAAAGAAAAATATACAAATTTGTAAATTTATGTTGTAAATTTGTTTTTCAACAAAGTTTCGTACGTATTATTTCCCATGCACTGATTTATAATGATTCTGAAAATTGTTGTTTTTCGCGTACTACACTTGAATTGTTATACTAATTCCAGATTATTAAATAATAATACAATACAATAAGGAAAAAAAAACAATAGTCGATAATTACACCAAGGAAATAATAGATAAACACGTATATTTCTATTTCTAGTTACTCAAAAAATAATTTTACCCAAACAATACAAATGAAATAGAATTATAGCACGAAAACGTAAAAAAAATAACGAAAAATTGTTCCGTCGCAGTTACATATTAAGTTTATTTATAGATGACGACGATGACAATCGTCATTGTTCGATGATAACGAGAAAATTGCAGACATTGCATTTAAGCGAGGAAAATAAACTATGTTTCGTGCTCTCTAATTAAGTGCATTACATTACAGGAAATTGCCTGATAGGTGTGTAACTGTGTAATTTGTTGCTTCTGCAGTCGTTGTTGTTATTGTTATTATTGGTCATGAAAACGCAATAGAGCTAGAGCGGAAATAGGAATTTATAATGTAAGGACAATCGTTTGAACATCTCGCATAACAAAAACCGAAAGAGATTGCATCTTTTGTACGACTACACAAAAAAAATACAATTGAAAGTTTAAGTGCGAGTTTCTTATCGAGATTTTTATAAGTATTTACTATTTCCTTGTAACACTGCTAAATAGTAAACTCCAGGAAAAAGCACCGCAAAGTATAATTAAATCTTATCAGAAAGTATGTAAATACAATTACCAATTAAAGTTTCAAGAGAACAAAAATCATTACTTAAGATAATTACAGTCATTTTTCCCCATTTGCTTTTAACTACTTAGACTTTGCTAATGTTTCAATATTTGTTTGTATTTTGAAATGTCATCGGTGTTTTATTTCAGACAAAAGAAACATTCTTGCTATTAAAAGCAAATTGGAAAATCGTACAGTATTAAGAATTTTGAGGAAATTAAAATAACAAGTTTTCATATGAAGTTTGAAAATTTTTATGATTTAGATCAACTGCAATAACTTTTTTTTCGATTTTAACTGTAATATTTGTAAATTACATAATCATTTCCAGATTTTGTGAAATTATTGTAACTCTAAATATATCAATATTCTCTGTTTACTCTTTTCACAAACTTATTTAAACATGAAAACTGTTAATTTTCAGTAAACACAGATCACTTGTTTTTTGAATGATGATTTATTTCTAAACAAAAAAATATGAAAGGCTAAATGTCAATGTGCAAACTCAAAACCGAGATTAATTTCATCAAGCTTTAAATAATTTTAGTAAGTTTTTGTCTTTTACTTATTGTATAATTTCAGTAGTTCAAATAGAATTAAACCAGATTTCAAAACTCAATGAGCATATTGCAGATTTAGTTTATAATTAGCAAATTAAATTCAACTTCAATTAAGAAATATACACCTTTTTTTCAATTTTGGCTGTAAAATTTGTAAATTACATAATTATTTCCAAATTCAGTAAAATTATTATAACGATAAATTTACTTTCCTGAAAAAAACAATTATCGATAATATTCTGTTTACTCTTCTCCAAAACTTATTTATACATGAAAACTGTTAATTTTCAGTAAACACGATCTTCACAGATCACTTGTGTTTTGAATGATGATTTATTTCTGTCAATGTCAATGTGCAAAACCAAAACCGAAACGTCGAGATTAATTTCTTCAGAAAATTTGAGTAAGTTTTGTCTTTTACTAATTGCCTGATTTCAGTAGTTCAAATAGTATTAAACTAGATTGATCTGGTAGTTCAAAAGTCAAATAAACGTAGAAAACAGTAGAAAAAAAAAGTAGAATTTCCTTAAATATTTCATTATTAATACGTATTGAAGTATCAGTGAAACATAAATTGATAAAAGACAATTGAAATTGCACTCATCTTTCTAAATTACATATAAATAATAGGAATTTCAAATTATTTAGAGTTATTGTCAACATTTAATTTCAACTGTAATAATTTTAAATCAAATGACAAACAGCAAAAATATCTTAAATTATTTTGTAAATTGAAGTCAGTCAAGAAAAATAAACAACAATGCGAAATACAATTACAAAGGAATACATTTGTGCAAATATTCTTAATGTAGACATATAATACCTAATAGTACAACAATACCTCGCATAGTGCGGTTTCGATCAGTGTGGATTCGCTGTAGTACGGTTTAAAATTTTTAAAACAAACTAAATTTTAAGTCAGAAAATTAAATTCTAAAAAAATAGTATACAATTTCTTTTATACATAAATTAGTCTTTTCCCATATACAGTCAAGTCTCTTTGTGTGCGCTTTTAAAGTACTCGAATAGTCCGGTTTCAAACATTTATAAACTTTTGTTTACTTATCCACATCTGCATAATGTGTTTTCCTTAAATGTAATGTAAACACAATAATTCAAAGAATTCTCCATATAAGCAACATTTTGATCAACTTTTTTTTATATTTATGTATTGATGTATATTTCTATAGTTCCATATCACTTTTTTGACGAAAATTTATTGTGCTTAGGGTCAAGTTCAGTTCCTATTATAAACATTTACTTTAAAAAAATTATATTAAAGTTATGATTAAGGTTTTAAAAGAGCGAAAAGATGAACTTATTGTCCTTTGCAATCTTTATAAATAATTGGATTTCTCAAAAAGTATTTATTTTATTTTTATTTACTTATTTATATTATGGACAAAATAAGAATTAACGTTGTAACTTATTTTACCTTTTATCATGATTTCAGTTACAGTTTTATAAAATGATCCATATTTATATTTCTTTCCGTGAAAAGTCTAACTGTTAATGTAAGTAATTTGTATTTATGTTTGGCAAATACAACGGGAAGAGCAAATCATTGAGATGAAATATGATAGTTGTGATTATATCAATATTAGCTTTTCCTGCAATGATCAATATTGGAAATGATGATAAATATTGATCGTGTATGAGAACAGTTGAAGTGTGGGTATAAATGTGGTTGAATAAATATGGAAGAGTTCTTACTTGGGTTGCATGACATCTGCGGCGAGCGAGGTGTGCGCGAACTCGTCCTTGGAGTCCAAAAATGGGTATCCATTCAATGCGATGTGAGCATCGTAGATGCCCTGACGACCCAGCGCATCCCCGACCCATTTACTGGCCATGGCCGCTGCCATCAAGGGCACGATGTACCGAACACCTCCAGTCAATTCGAACATTATTACCACTAAAGACACTGTCATTCTGGTGACACCGCCGAGGACGGCCGCCGCACCGACCATCGCGTACAGACCCGGCGTTATGCAATCATCACCGGCGTAGCACTCGCCGGAGAAGAAGAAGGTCTTCGGATAGTGATAGGCCAGTTGCTCGACACCGATGCCGAAGATGCGACCGACGATGGCGCCCAGGCACAGCGAAGGGATGAACAGACCGCACGGAACTTTGATGCCGAACGTGAAGATGGTCATGACGAGCTTCAGGATCAGAGCCAAGATGAGCAGCCAGATGGCTTGATATACGCCAGGACCGGCAGCAGCAATCTCTATAGCCGAATTCACATCAGTGAAGTTCCTATTGTAATCGCTGCAAACAAACAGAAAACATTCATTCACATAACATTTCTAAGACAATGTGGAATTTTCTTTATGATCATTTCTTTACATATATATGTATCGTCTCATTGAAAAGACTAAGCTAAGCTACAGATTTTTTAATATAATTTCCAATAACTTCTTATTTCAGACTTTGCTTGATGTGTTTTGATTCATTTAAGTTATTTCTATCAAACATTAACATAAGAAACTAGTATAAATTAAGGATTGTTATTGGAAAAACTTTTGAACATAATTAGAAAAAAAAATCCAACTTCAATGTAGAAAATCATAATTTTTCCTATTCACTTTGGTTAAGATATTTTGATTGATCTACATATTTCCTTTCATAAATAATAATAGGAAATTAGTATAATTTATAGATTGTTATTCGAGCTGAATTAAAGAAAATATTTTCTAACTTCAATATACAAATAACAAAGTTTTTCCTATTGACTTTGGTCAACATATTTTGATTCATGTACATATTTATTTCAGAGATAAATATAGTAAATTAGTATAATTTATAGATTGTTATTGGAGCTGAATTAATGCAAATATTTTCTAACTTTAATATTATACACATTCATTATTTTGTATACTTGGATTTCAGACATTCATACGATCTAGTACTGCTGATCAATCTAGTACTTGACAAGTTACAAGTACCTCATGAAACCTAAATGTGATAACAGTCAACAAAGATATAAATTATAGTTACCATAAGTTATCGGTGTTGGATATTCCGCACTGGCTGAAGAGAAGATAAATCAGCTGACTGGTGTTCATGCGGGTGTACGGATTGGGATAGGCGATGATGGCCGTAATTACGGTAACGACGAGCACCTCGGTCACTGGATATTGACCCAATTTCGAGAATTTCCTGTAGCGGCACCAGTACAAATTCGCTTTGATGAAGATCGTCGCAATTACGCCCTGCATAGAGAATGTAACAGAAAAACGCACAATTACGGAAGTGCAATTAGCTTTGAATTGAATTGAATAGTAGAAAAAAAAAGCAGCGGTCAATAAAAATAAATGAAAGGACGGGAATGCGATATAAATAAAAAGAGCAGGAATGGAAAATAAATTAGATTAAGTGGAGATGCAAAAAAATAAGATGCAAGGTCACTTACGCCGATGATACCGAGAAGGATGAACGGTATCAGCTCGAAGAAAATCCATGGTTTGTTGTACTCGACGAAGAAGAGTACGGAGTGTTCGTTGCCGAACGGATTTATGGATCTCAAGATGAAAGCGGCAATCAACGCGCAGAAGAACGATCTCCAAAGGGTCTTCAGCGGAAAGTAGTAACTCACCTACAAAGTCAAAAATATTGAATTATTTGTTTAAGTTAATATTATAATAACCTAATATCATAGTTCATAAGTTATCAATAAGCAATTTCCAATAAAGAGACCTTTACACTTAGCAATTGCGTCACGAAATTCTTGATATCTAAAATGATTTAGATTCTTCACAAAATTGCGTTACAATCAACAAAACTATATATGAAATGCAGCAATTTCATGATTTTTCGATTCCATCATAAAAATATGGAAAGAAATCCTTCGGTAAATTATTACAGACATTCGAATGCTTCTATATTCATACATTTTTACGTGATGAAGATTGCTTGATCCATGTAATAAATTTCAATAAACTTCATTTAAAACAAATTATAAAGTCATAAAATCTACAAAAAAAAATTTTCTTTTTTATATCTGTAAATTATTTACAATTTTAAATAATTGTCTATGTATATTCCTTTGATCTTATTACACTATGAACTTTCCACAATTATTAAACCAATTTTATCGTAAACAGACAAATACTATCTACTTATGATGTCAATGAACTAAGAAACAAACACCGTCTAATAAATAACAGTAAATAGTTAAAAATATTGCTATAAATACTACTAGTAATAGAATGTTTGAATTCTTTAAATTACTTAAGTAAATGAAAAAGTGTTACGTATTTCAATAAAAATTTAAGCTTAGTTTTTGTTGTTGTAGAGATATTAAAGCATTTATTCGTTTGGTATAAATTCATGTTAATCTCTGCTAAACTAATTACTAATAATAATTCTACAATTAATTTAAACATGAACAAGCAAAAATCTACGTTTGAATTCAATGTTTAAAAATAAAGTTTAACGTTAGGAAAAACCTTAAGTAATTTACTAACATTACAACTGGAAATAAAACATTTGAATTCTTTTGACACCTTCAAACTGACATCTGACATTGACATCACAATAATATATTGTCTATTTTAACAAAGAGTATTTCAATTTGGCTTGCTCTTAGTTTAAGAAAATCAAAGAATGAAAGCAATTCCTTTTTCTTTTTCATGCGGTTTAAATACTGAACGGAAATAAGTTCATATTTAACAAGGCGTGGTGTGGAAATTTCCAGCAAGTGATTACACGCCATGTATTGATTAGCGTCCGCATATATTACTCATAATTTCACAATGCAATACGTACACTCTTTTCATATTTGTTTGTTTAATATACTGAAAGCGGTATTATTTGATACACTCGCTCCACACAATTTCTAAACGCGAAAAGTCAATTCCGTTGTTAGCTCACATAAATTATTACAGAGTAATCTCATTAAGTAATCGGTCAAATGGTAAATCAATTAATTGATTGTTTACTCACTTCTTCTAAACTGAACAAAACACCACCAATTGGAGCACCGAAAGCGACGGAGACGCCGGCTGCTGCAGCGGCCGAAAGGATTTCACGCTTTTTAGCCTCGTTCCTCCCATATTTTGGGAACAGATATGATAGGATATTCCCTAAAAGAATACATTTTATAATTTAAATTATTAAACATTAGTAGATTTCAATTAATCACCTATGGCGCAAGCTATATGAACCATGGGACCTTCCTTTCCCAAACTCAAACCCGCTGAGACGGAGAGGATGAGACCGACGCTCTTGATGATCAGCGTCCATTTACCTAAATATCCCCTAATAATGAAACCGCTGAGAATAGTTTTAATCTGCAAATGGAATTAGATTCAGTTTAGTTTAAACTATATAGTTATAGAATTCGACGGTCTCACCTCAGGTATACCACTGCCACAAGCATATGGAGCGAACATCCGCACCAATGAAGCGGACAGAGCGGCGAATAACAAAGCCCAAACTATGTAGAATAGATAGGATATTATGTAGGAACCGGCACCTTCCTTCGCCTGACCCAACACTTCAGCCCATGTCAACCACTGAAATAAATAAATTTTAAATATTAAAAAATGAAACAAAGCCGAATTAATATTAATATCATTTACACAACATTAACTTTTACATCTTTTTTCAAGATTTCCTTACTTATATTACTAAAATCCTGTTTAACCCTTCGAAGGACCAGAAATTCCTAAACTAGACCCAAGAAACTGAATCAGACAACTTTGTCAACTGAATCAACATCCACTATCAAAATTTATCTAATCAAATTAAATAGAAATTCCTCTTTCCTGGACATTTTATAGTAAATTATAATAATGCATACACTAGGCATGTTCAAAAGGTTATACAAAGAGTTAAAACCATCAAAACATATGGAAAATCAATGTTTAGATTCATTGATTCGACTGGATTTTGAACGAACGAATAATTTCTATACTAATTTCTGAATTGGATTTAATCAGCAAAATACGAAATATCCACCTTTACTACCTACTATTTTATGTATTTCCTATATATTTTCCATAAATTTACAATATAATAACACTTTTATTTTGGAGAATTTGCAATTCAATTACACACTGCGACACAGAAACTATGTCTCTATTATTTCTATTGTATAGTTTTGGCGCTCGTCCATGGTTCCAACTTTATGTTATTGTTACCTAATTTTACGTTTCGCTTTACATTCAAACGCAGAATCGATTTTCTTTCCTTCTTCAAACTCATACTTGTTTCCACATGTAAATTTAAAGAAATTTATCGCTCACAAAACATGTATGTTTTTTAATTAAATAAATCATTTATAAGAAATAAAAAAGCTTTTAACTACTTTAATAATTTGACTTTGATAATTATAATTGTGATAAATTTTATACTAATTTTGCTATCTCGTTTTTTGTGTAGTTGCAATGAAATTTCTATTGTTTGAAGTAAACTTTTACTTTGAATGCACTATAAATTCCATATGCAAAACACCGAAAGTGAACGTCCGAATCGGCTAAAGAGAAAGCACAGGAAAAATAAATTATAAAAAACTATCGCTGTTCGAGTTATTTGATTCCAATTGAAAGTATCATTGTGAAAAGAATTGCAGTAAACCTATGTTATTAAATTAATTGAGTAGTAGCTATAAATGTAATATCTAACTTCTTCAGATATTGAAAATTTTCTAATAAACTAAACAACCAAAGGCAAAGAATAAATACTAATGTTTGTGGTTGACACCTGATTTGTAAATAATAATAAATAAAAGCTAAAATGGATATATAAAGCAAGAACAGTGAGTTAACAAACTACTGAATTTCAATAAGAAAACAAACTATGATCATAAAACTGACGAAAGGAAAACAAGAACTCGGTTCTCAAAGTGTAAATACGATTAGAAAAACAACCATAAATCAACGAACGGAAGCAACATACAATCATAAAAGAAACACTCGAGACGCTCCCATTCAACACATCATAAAACGATAGCTACTATAAAAAAGAGCAAACAAATAAACGCTGAAGAGATGTCGGCATCAAAAAGAATGAACGATGTTTGAGAAAGTGATGAACATATTCTGAACTCGAATATCAATATTACTCTTCAAACTAAGCAAATATACCTGTCCCTCGTTTTACACGGTATTTTCTTTACTTGTTTTCGCTTTAACACGGTTTAAAAAATAAATAAATGGTGAAAATAACTTATCCCTCATTTGGCACGGTACTTTCTTTACTTGTTTTCGCTTTAACACGGTTTATATATGATGAAAATAAGTTATCCTATGTGTTATTTTACATACTTTTCGATTTACACGGTTTTACATTAAAAAAAGTAACAATTTCGATTTACACGTTTTTCTAAGGAACCAATTTACCGTGTAAGTCGGGATATAAGTGTAGTAGAAAGAAACATCGATAGAAGTACGTGAAATACATGATTATATGATTGTTATCAGAGGAAATGAAAGAAGTAAACAATATTGTTAAGAAGACAATCCAATGTCATTGTCAATTCAAATAAAAAATTGCTCTTCAAATGGATAAATACTCATCACACTGTGAAATATCTTAGTATAAAACTAGAGAATCGACTCTCGTTACCTGCGAACAGTTTCCTACGTCGAAGCTTGTCTCGTTGAACGACCAGCAGCACTGCTCTTTGTTCAACCAGAAAGCCTGTGGACATATGCCGAACTTGAGGTCGGTCATCCAGCTGGCTCCGATATCTATGACGCCGGCGACGACGCCCGTGAAGAGGCCGACCAGAAGGACGCACAGCCATCCCGACCAGGCGTCGTGAGCGCCCTCGATCAAACTCCACAGGGAATCCTGCTTCTTCTTGATGATGTATCTGTGGCGCATCCGATCCCTCGCGATGTCCCGCTGCCAATCGATCGTGTGGAAATCATCGTATTGGCCGATCCCAGGGATATCAGCTGTTTCTGAACAAACAAAATTCGCAACGCGGATTAAGACATATGTCAATTAAGATAATAGGATTACTTACCATGAGCGCCGCTGAAGGAGACCGAATCTGGAAAATCGGATAAAGAAAGATCAGATTATTGATAGATAAACTGACAGATTTATGTATGTGTTTTGACGATACTCACAGTTAACGTTGGTTTCATCGTCTTCTGGGACCCTTGCCGACCGTATGTCCGTAGCACCTGATGTAGTAATGTCTATCATATCGTCATCCGAATGCACGTAGGTCACCCGCGTTCCGTTCGTAAACTGCGGAAGAGAATCCAAGAAATCAGATAGATGTACCTACTAATTTCGGTTCACATAATCTTTGCTTTTGTAAGGATGAATATGAGGATCGAGCGGAGGAGCAGCGTGAAGCTGTTACCTCACAGGGGATGTAGTAGTAGTACGTTTCTTAGTGCGGACGGCACTTGGCGCGAAGACATGCGCGTCATACTGACAAATCGATATTATTGTGTTAGCGGGTCACGTCCATGTGCACCAAATCCCATGAATGAAACCCGACTAACACCCCTTCGCTTTGTTTCCAGTACTATATAGTATTTGTAGCACACATGTACATCGACACTTCACAAGTAGCGTTCGGCGGCCGTTCAACAACCGCAATTAAACCTCGACGTCGCAACTACACTTCGCCCATACACGATAATTGATTACAAACAATCGCACATTCGGATTCCGCATCGGACGCATATGTTTTAGCAACCAACCAATAACGATTTCCATCAATATTTACTGACAACCGCTAACGCAATACAAATATCCATAACACATTCCAAACAATTACGTCCAATTTTTTTGTATACAGCACATTCTTCATCAAATTAAGTACGGCAATAATCAACTTTCTTAATAGAAACATAAATCATGCACTGATTTGTTTCAATTTTTTAATTTACTTTTCATCTTCCTAAAATATAAATTCTACAAAACACCATAAAATGTTGTTCATGATTCCTATATTTTATGTTTTATCGTCAAATCCAAGTGTTTACCTCATAACCAGCCATCAACGATGAAATCCTTCAGCTACGTAGTGTTGAAACTGGTTACTCTTTAACTAACCGCCTTGGTTCTATCAAAATACCTACAAAATTGATCTAATTATTATATCCAATTTATACAAAAACTAAATGACCTTAATTAAATATAAAATAATGTTTTATAACAAAAAAAAAATCATAGTCAATCAACAACAATTATGTGTGTAATGTTAATAATATTAAACACAAACATAACTTTAGAAAGTTTTTAAATGATTCAAGTTAGTATTTCATATGTGCGATATTTTATAATACATCAATCAATTAATGATTACTTTTTACAAATTTATTATTGTGGTTCAACGCAAATGCATTGAACATTACATCTCTCATTACTTGGATTTCTTAATATTATTATTGTACATTCATTGGACAGAAAGGCCACAACCGATAACCTGTGAAATGGATCAAATCGTTGTATTCATGCAATTGTTACGTAGCAAACCGATAATCACCAATATATGTATTTACTTCCATCGGAATGGAAATGTTGAAATAATTTCACCCACTTATTAAATTCTCTCACAAGATGTGAAAAACGCGATAAGCGCGTTTATCAAACTGTAAAGATTAAAACAAAAATAACATTTTTTTTAAAATACTACGTTTCCAGACTTTAATTCAAATGTGAAATCTCATATGTATGCACATAAAACATTAAATTCGTTACTTTATCAACAAAAAAAACAACAACTTATAGCTTTTGCTAAGAATTGCACAAAACAACAACAACTGATTGAATGAGAATGAAATAATTCGTTGTTTATTTTTTTTCGCTACAAATGCGAACGAAATATTCCATTCTTTAATTTGCGATAAGAAAAGAAATTAAATATACTTAATACACCTCGACGCCTCTATGCAAAACTAAGTGGCCTGTTTTGTTTCACGTACTTGATACCCCTTATCAATCGTCAATGTAAAGCAGTTTCACGATACTTGTTTTTTTTTTCATATATTTATATTCTAGAAGTAGAACGACAATTCTCCTGTTTCCTCCATAATTCACGTAGAAAACTGTTGTTTGTTACTTTGGTAGAACATGTTTGTAATTAGCATTTAGTTAGCAAAGACCTGAACTTGTATAAACGTAAAAAGTTTAGTTTAGTCATTGAATATTAAAACAGACGTTGCCTATGATAGATTGTAATTAGATGAAAATGAAATGATACACCCACGTTTTTAATGTTATCTTAATGACTATGAATAAAACGAGCTAAACACATATTCAATAATTTCTAAATATATAAAGAACGGATCACAATTATTTATAATAGCTGGTCGTGTTATATGCAACCCAAATAGCATATCCTCTACCCAACACAGCCGGGATTGTTAACTGTAATTGCATTGAATTAGTAATATAAATTCCATTTAAAAGGGAGTGTGCATTGGTTCAAGCTGTTGTTAAGGACTACACTGATGCATAGCAATAAATCAACTTGTTGCTATATGATGACAGCTGGAATGTTCTTGCACAATGCTGAGCAGTGTAATTTATAAATTACTGTGTCATAATGGGAGGTGGTGATGGACAAAAATAAATCTAATTATCCTAGCACAAGAATTACCTTTTTATTTACCGATTGATATGATGTTGAGTGTGTTGGTGTCGATGCAGTGCCCCTTTTCAATGGGTGTTTTTCCATGGCTCACTTGTAAACCTACAAAAACGAAAATGTAACCATTTGATTGGCTGTGTGGTAATGCAACAAATTCGCAATATTGGAAGTGCATTGAAGGTGAACCATTGCAGTTGGCTGGGTGAAAGTTGCATATCCAAGTGAATGTAACAATTCCTACCAATGCATTTTGTGTGAAAAGTAATTACCATTTTTTTTTTTAGATTTGTGATTTTTGTACTAATTATTTTGGTGCAATAGTTGTCAAATGCACACTTTAGATGAGTAACAACACATTAATAACACATCACAATAACAAGTACCAACAAAACACTTTCAGGGCACTTTGGTCACTGGTTGAAATATGGAATGGCTTTATCACATGATGTGCATTCTGTTGGCAGTAATGATAATCAGACAGGACTGAATCATCCCCACCGAATCTAACTCATTGTAATTTATGTAAAGATGGCAGCACGAAGAGTTTGGTACTGCAGTTGCCTACGTTATACAACAACTACTTTTCAGATTAGCATAGAAATTTAAACTTTTTACGAACTATTTATGTATCAACAATAAATTAAATAACAAAATTCACTAGAAAATAACACTTCTTAACTATACCTTAACTCCTGGTTAATCTTCTTAAACATCACTTACACAACCATTAAATATAATATCAAGTTACTTATGGAATAAGGAAAGGATATAAAATTTAAATCTCTTTATCAAAATTTGATAAAAATTGATAGGATCACATGATTGGATTATATTGAAAATGTATTATATTTATGAGGATATGACAACTTCTTCATAAACAATTTAAACTTATGTTTATTAATCAAATATTATACCTAATAAAATTGAAGCTTTTTACTAATATTTTAAATGAAAACAAATGTTCTTAGTTGACATTTCTTTATTTTCACGGATTTATTTAATTTTCTTCATTACACGTTTCTTTTTGAAAATAATTACTTCGAAAACGAAAACTATGAATCCCAATGAATGTCCGATGATCAACAAAATGAATATAGATTGAAGATGCACTATTTCCAAGGTGCGATGGGTGTTGGTCTGTTTGGAGCCGCCATAAAACTTCCTGTTCTTTCTGTATTGAAACATGTATAGCAGTTTCTCTTCTATCTCTTCCTTGTAAGGAGATCTGAAAGGAAAGGCGTATGAGGTGAATCCAGGTAGAAACTTCTCTTCGACCAAATGATATGGTTTCAAACTGCGATTGTTGAGCTTCTTCAGAATTGCCATTATGACAGCGTAACTATCGGAAAATGCAACATCGGTATCTCCTCTGAGTGATCTATTTGCAGATTCGTATTGGTTCACTTCAATGAACTTGTGTTTTAGCTGTGGAAGTTTCAAAGATAGGATTGAATGTATGAATTCTATTGCTACAATGTTGTACTTTGATTCAACCAATTCTTGGATGGTATCAATCTCTTCCTCGTACTTGGGCTTAGTTAGAGTACTAGCTAGACTACTTGTGAAGACGCTCGGGATTATAACTATGAAAACTATCCACATCAGAAGCAACAAATAGTACATCAAAAGTTTTTCTCGCACTGTTCTTCTGGAATAGTTGATGAGCAGGAATATCGTGCCAAGAACGCAAATGCAGAACCAGGTCAAAGGTTGAAATATGTACATGATGTACAAGTAAGCCGGAAGCAAATCGCTTTTTGGTACGATTACAACTACAGCTTCGTGATTCTGAGGGTACGAGTAGCCAACATCGTAGATTTCTGATATCACAACGAACTTGACGAAGGAAAAATCTACTTTTTCGTCTACGACCATCTTCTTTGCATTGGTGTGATTGAACGCGTCCACCGTAGTGAGCGTGGCATTCATCAATGACATAACTTTTTTCATCCGTTTCATGTCTTCGCCAAAAAATGTTCCGTTCCGTTTCCACGTGATAGGTATGACCTCGATCATTGCAGATTTTAAAGTGTAACCGTGCATGTTCCTCAATTTATTCGGAAAGAACTCGTCGGTCTCGTTTAGGTAATAGACGCTATCGTTGAATGGATTGTAAGAGGCGATTTTAACAGAATTCAACATGTTGAAAGCAACCACGAAGTTTAATATCCTGAAATCAATCCAGATGATCTCGAGGATCCTTCGCAGCCACCGATCATCGACCACCGGGTTACCAACTATGAAATGGAAATGTCCTCTTCTATGAAGAAAAGTGCAATCATCCATATACTCCAAATACTGTCTAAAATTTCTGATATCATCGACGAAACCGATTATGTTCTTCGTGCGATACGTCACATAATCCGGCACTTCGGCATTCTCTTCATTCCATATTAGCACGGCGTAATTTGATTGGATTCTCTTGGAAAGAAACCATTGGGCGATTTCCGGCTTCACCCCGATCACTCCGATCGTGACGTACGTTTCTATTGTGGCCAATTCTATGTTATCCAAGAAAGTCTTCAGCAGTGCGTATTTCTCTTGGATAGGTGGCCTAAGTTCAGCGCGAACAACGTGAACCAGGAAATATAGGATCAGTAATCTAATATTGATGGACATAATAGGAGCAACAAACTTCAAATAAACCCAGTTGCGATGTGTTGTGGTGAAATGGTAGTTGCATACGAAGAAAAATATGTATAATAATAAACATTGCGTGTTGCTTCGTCCCGAAAAGCAAACAGCGGAATGCTTTGAATAATTCACAATCGACACAATTAAATGTTTAATGATTCAATGCTTCGATTACGTACAATGTACATTCGTTAAGCTCAATAGCAGTATCCTTTCAAACATTGTTATTCAAACAGCGACATAAATTAGTAGGCAAAGATTAATCAACACTACTATTAAAAAATAACTTTGTTTCGTAAATTCCAAGAATACTTTATAGAAGCCTTCAGGCTCACTTAAAATGTACGAAAGCGTGTTGTAGTGTACGATAATCCTATGTGGGCTTTAGCTTCCAATTAGAATGTGCATTTTAAATGTGCAAAAGAATTTATGAATGAGTAATCGACCTGGATGCGTGCGTCTGAAGCAATTTGCAACTTTGTAGAGTGAGAAAAGAATGTGTAAGTTCACCATCCTATGGTAATTCATTGAAATTTTCATACTTATATTGTAAACATTGTACATATATAAAAAAAAAAACTTTGCATACAGCAAATTCAATAACCGAAATGATAATTAATTCACAAAACCGTAATTATAGGTGATTAAGATAACTTAAGTAATCATTTATTCATGTCTTCAGCTTGAGCATTAAACAATTAGTAAATCTTATATCATTTTCGCTAATTTATATCATTATAATTCAAATTCATTAAAGAATATGTAAAACTAATTTGCACTCATTACAAAACAGAAATAATCATATTTTGTCTTTTATTATTAAGAATTGAAATAATAATAATTTTACCTACAATTGAATCCGGAAGTAAACGAAAGGTCAATATTGAATGTGCATGTTCTTTATTTCCTTTGTTGAATTACTAGAAAGGCGGTAATTTCTATTCATCGAAATGGTAATTTAATAACTATGTAAAGATCGAAAATGGTAATTTAATAACTAAGTAAAGATTGAAAATGTAATAGGTATAGCTTTTATATTTGAAAATCAATTACACTAATGTTTAGAAATAATATTGGGTTGGCAAGAAAGTAATTTAAAAACTCTTTTTTTGTACACAAAGAATGTAGTTTAATCAATTACATTTTCCATTTTGTCCGATGATCTTTTGTCATTTTTATGTAGCTTTAAGCAAGCTCATAGAAGTTTAGGTTCTGTAAAAAACTAAACCAAGTGCAATTTCAGGTCAGAATTAGTGAAAGTTTTACCATTCAAAGAGTTTTGCGAACTTCTAAATAAATAGTAATATAATGGTGCAAAGTCATGGCTATATATTACTTTTCTAATCATGCTCCAATAATTTTCCACAATATGTGCGAAGATTTGCATTGGTTTGGTGAAATACGATTTGCCATTTCTGGCCATGTTTCTTTGATAGCTTCTTTCAGTTTCATTAGTTGTTGACACTAAACATCTGAATTGATCGTTTGATTCATTTGTCTCGAATACACAACACCTTTTTAATCCTAACATATTGATAGCATCATCTTTTTTGATCCAATTCAGCTTTTGATGTGGATTGTTCATGGGATTGCTTGGATCATGATCGTTTTAAATTGATGTTCTTGTATATAATCTATTTTTCATAACATAATGATGGTTCTGGGAATGTTTTTAATTCCTATGAATATCGAGATTCTTAACGAATTCAAGAATTATATTGAACCTTTATATGGCAATCCGATTCAATTATGATTTAGTCATTGTAAACTTCAGGCTTACCAGAATGTTGGTCATATTTGAGTGAAAATTTTACCAATTATAACAATGAATTCTGTTAAACAATAAACATCATAAACTTTGCATATGTCTTCGTTGGCCTCAGCAGTATTCTTGCATTTAAAAAAGTAAAATATCTGGAAAATGTTTGGTTTTTCGCTGCTGTTAAGATTTTCCTTAAACTAAAAAGCTGCAAACAGAATTATGTCCAATTATCTTCTAAAGGAAACTAAAGTGACATCTTTCAAGTGACAGAAGGATTAAATCATAACATTGAGAGAAGTCCTTTGAAACAAACATTATATTATCTATTTGTGGAAACGACTAATAGCCGAATGGTTAAGTCACCATACCCATGATTTTGTAGGCGCCGGTTCGAATCCAGGTCAAACCAGGCCCCTTGAGAGCCCTCTCGGTGCTTGCAGCAATAGGGCCATCGTTTATCACAGTGAAAAGAATGAGGTTCAGCATATGAACCTTCAGCCAAGTCGATGGACAAATGACAGTGTTAAGGATAGCAGCAGATTCACAGTCAAAGGAAATAGTGGAATCGCTGAGCATCAATATTCTACTGAAGTTAAAATACAAGACGTCAGCCAACTTACAAATCAACATAATGGTAACTATCCACCGGGAAAGATTATCAATTTAATGTCAACCGCGATCTTAAATTTACTCAATGTTCACATAATAAAATAAAATTATACGACAACAAAAAAAAATTGAAAACCGAAATTACTTTCTTTTCAACCCAATACATTGACTGTACTTACTTACCTACAGTATTTAAACTAATATTTTACTTGAAAGTGTAAACTTTACTGAAATTAAAAGAAAATAAGATATTCAAAATATCTATGATTTTAGTATTGGAAGGATGAAAATTCCATTTTTCACAATAATTTCTATAGGACAAATTCAAAATTTTATAACATTTTTTAACTGACTTTAATAATAAATTTCTTATATTTGATGATAATTAAACTTTATTATTTCCAAACTAAATTAGACATATTTCGTTTGACTCTGGAATTATTTTTGTCTTTTTCTGAGCTTCATCCTATATTAATCGTATTTAGAGTATAGATTAATGAATTCTATTTGGCAGACCTTTAATTCATTAGATCGGTGCCTTTTCTTTCTAAATAAGTTTTAAGGCACTATAAGAGTACAAATGAAAATAAAAACATCATCATAATTTAAGTAGGCTATGGAATTTTCATTGTATTGTGCCATGAGCAATTCATTTTTATTTTCATAAATGTTTCATTCAAAAATCAAATCTTCTTTGCAAGGCTATTAAACTTTTTACAACAAATTTTCTATTTAAGATATAAATATTGTTATTTTGTCGCTTAGTAAATAATTAAGTTAATGAATATTGATGCGAATGTTGATTTTAATTAAAAATTGTGATCCGAAATGCGGAATGAATTAATTAATATGTTTTGCGACCGTTGTGTTAAATAAGATGAGGAGATTCGTCCGTGGTTTTGCAGTGTTTGTGGCTGTTAATTAAAAATAATAAATATTATATGTGCGGTGCATGGGTTTGTGTAATGAGTATAAACACAAGGGCAATGTTATAAACGGAATGCGGAGGACCTCCCTGGGCGAGGAAGGGCGAGGTGGGGTTTAGGGACGTAGTGCAGAGAAAGGCGGGATGGGGTGGGCGACGGTCGGAATGGCCGGAGGGACAGAGAGCGGCGTCGACTGTCTGGGGCGCCGCGGGCGTTCATCTCTAGCGCCGGAGGTGTCCCGGCCCGATGGCCCGAGGCGCTCGCAGGGCCGGGCCTGTCGGCCCCCCGAGGGCTCCGAGCCCCAATTGGTTCTTTGTAGAGGATATTGAGTTCAGAGTAACCATAGTAACTACCTTCGGGCACTTTGTCCTAGAAGCAAATTTTACATACCTCTCCATTATGTCTTTTTGAGAGGTTTTCATATTCATACCCTATATGAGTTATGAGCACTTCGCAAAAGGGCGACTCTCTGCGTCCCGGCTTGCCTCGCTTTGGTTGGACAGCTGGATGGATGGATGATGACTGGCATCGCGACGCCACTTGACGGCGCTCCGCACCAAATAAAACTCATCTGACATCTTTTATAAGCATTTCATATATTTATATATATATATAATTTTATTTATTCAATTTTTTATTCTTTTCAATATATATGTGTATGTTTATGTACAGAAAAACTCCTACTCCTCATGCTCTCCTCCATATTAGTATCTTAAATATTATTATCCACAATCTCCATCATTTCCTATTCGCAAATATACAAATAAAAATACAAAAAAAAAACGCAAATCCTGCATCAGTCGATATTTCCTCATTCATCATGAAAATCAAGTACCAACCAAAAATTTTAGTATATTTTTACTATTAGTCAAAAACAATACAAACAAAATCTAGTACGCATGGTAAACAATTACAAAATAAATATACGTCAGTAAGAAATGCAAGATCGAATTGAACTTTCTCATTTTGCAGCTTTTGAGATCAATCAAAACGCGAATTGAAGGAAGCGATGATGGAACAATGAAATATTTATATATAAGCAGGATCGGACTTCGTTTATCAACGTAATCATATGTAACGTATATACAATCAATAGGTTTAAAACTGAAGTGATTTGTCTGAAAGTAAAACCGAGCGGTCGTCCAATCCTGCAACATACATACAAGTGAATTTATTTACAAGAAACTTAACCAATCATTCAATAAATTCTATTAACCAATCAGCGTTTCCCAAAATAAAAATCACCAAAACCAACAACTTCATTTAGTTATTGTTATATTTTTTTATGGTGAGAAACATAGTTAATCTTTGTCGTATTATAGTAGGATTATAACAATCATAGGAAAGGGTTTTAAATTTACCTTAATAAAATCTAACATTTAAACAAAAACGATTGGCCTACTAAAATAAACAGTTCTTTCGTTATTAATAATGTTTCGCAATCTCTAATTACATACAAGGTGTGACATATCTGAATAGAGGTTGTCATTTAGACAGATACAGCATATGTCAATGTCATGTTTAGCAATTGTTTTTCATTGACACTGATGACAGTGTCATAGTTGGTACGTTACGCTTGATAGTCTTTTATGTCTCAAGTCAAGAAATAGTGTGGACGTAACATAGAAGAGGTTTCTATTTTTATTATGTGAAATGAATGTTGGGAAACGCTTGGTCATGGATGTTACAAAAAAAATAAAATGAAAAATAAACAAAGGAATAAATAATGTAGTGTTAAGGATAAATAAGAAGTAGTATGCCCGTGGAGTGATTGTCGAGTGCGTCGATGGGGTGTTGTAGTTGATATGGGTTTACAGTCAGCCCGGCAATGTTTTCCTGATGAACAAGTACTCGGAGAACTGTTGTCCTTCGACGCCTCCGCCGTTGCTGGCAGCTATCCTGAAGCCGGAGTTGAGGAGCCTGGTGATGGCCTGGACAGAGTTCAGCTTGCAGTAGCCGTTCAGTGGGAACCTGATCACGTGGTGGACGTCCTGCTGGTTCCATGCGACGCCGGTTCGGGCATCCATCAGGGCCTGATTCGTCTCGGGGAAGACCTCATCGAGGACGGCTCTGTCTCCGGACAACATTATCCTCTCGCCCAAATCAGGGCTCACGTGAAGCGCGACGCATTCGTAGGTATCCATTCCCGTCCTCGAATTATCTAAATTCGAAGTACTCTGAGGTCTTCCACCCAACAACGATTTCGAAGATCCCGTCGTAGAGAATGCTCCGTTTTTAATTTTCTCTTTCTTCAGTTGCTCCAGTTGACGTATCATAGCTGCAACAGAAACACAAACTTTTAAACCAATTAAACATAAAATATTTGAAAACTTAATAAAACCATAATTTGGAACCTAAATAAGTTATATTTCTTAGTCATGAAGTTGATATTCTCAAAGTAATTTGATGAAAGCAAAGTTTTTCTATCATAATTACGTCAAATTTAAATTTCCACATCCATTATCTTGACTCAGTATAATTTAATTTTCAATGTGTATTATTATCAAACGAATCAAGAACTGCAATAACAAAATTTGTAATATTATAATTGCAAATCTATTAATCAACTTCTTTATGCTCATAAATAACTGTAAACGAATTTGAAACTAATCACATCTTTAAATCATAATAATTGATAAGTGTATATACTATATATCAGCGTTTCTCAACCTATTGGATTGCGTTAAATATTGAATGGGTCGTGAAATGACAGCTGTCACCTTACGTCAAAGCGTCAAAAATGTTATGTTAGAAACTATTGGGTCGCAGTATAACTACAAACAAAAATGTTGGGTCGCGCTGTTAAAAGGATGAGAATCTCTACTATAGTTATAAAAATATATATTATTAGTTTTGTGTAGATCATATTAGTTAGATACATATTCTATTAACAATTATTATGTTTGTTATTAGAAACGGAAGAAGTAATACTTACGAGCAATATCGAAATATCGAGCCTCTTCTAACAGAAGGTCAACATCGTTGAAGTTGTCCGGTATGAGAAGCCTGGAATTCCTCATGAAGTTGAGGATGTGTCTGAACATGCCGCCGTCCCTGTCGATGAAGTAGTGCTGCTTGAGAGAGTCCAGGACAATCGGAATGGTGCCGTTGAAGAGTTTCGCCAGACGAGACTCGGGATATCTGGAAATGATAAAATAGCGAATTAAAATAGCTGAACGACAAACAAAACTGAAAGAATAAACGGGATGAAAAGAAGCAAATGATGTTGGTGTAGCTACTACTACTGAACTCTGCCCGAGGGATGGAAACGTGCGTCGCTTACAAACTAACTGCATATTACTTAAATGTATTCGTCGGCCTTATCTTTCTGGTATGGATGATGCCCGAGGTAGAATAGGAAATGGCCATATTTGGCCCCCAGGAGTCGTGGGACTACCTTTACCACAGAGTGCGGCCCTCGACTTCGTTACCAATTTGCTGCTCGCAAAAACGACGCAAACCGACATTTATTTATATACTTATAATAGCGATTTAATAGGATTTCAGAGGAGACTCTCTTTGCAGACTGAATTCAAAACAGAGATAGATAGAGAGATTTAGAGTTGTGATACAGCTATTGAACAAACAAGGGAATGTAGTAATATGGAAGCCCGAACAAATTGCAGGCAATCAGATTTCGTTGGCTTCGAGCGAGAGAACATGTATGTACTATGTGTGTGTGTGTGTCTGCATATTATTTAGTCAAGAGTTTAATAAATTTTAGCGCAACGGCAGAAGAGAGGAGGAGATTTCGAGGTTGAGCATGTATTCATGTATGTATGCATGCACGTGTCTCGCATTTAGTAGATACAGAGAGTGCACCGTAAATCACCGTTAACAGTGTCACATCTGTATCATATCGATGATATATAAATTAACGTCCCCTCGCTACCAATGATATACGGCCTTCGCGTCAGCGAAATTCCGAAATATCGCGCAACAAGTTTCGGAATTAATAATTACCTTCAATATTTGCTTTATTATTATTATGACCAGTTCAAATTGTATCCTTTTCTCACTGCATCTCTCCGCTCTTCGCTCTCCTCCAATGCAAATCGCTTATGGTCATGGTTGGAATAGAGCCACATTATCATCACACGACGCGCGAGAGCGCCAACAACTCTTCGGAAATGGCTGATTTATGTCCCGGCCGATTGAGATATTCGATATTGTAAACACTTTAATACCATATGATTGCAACCTTTTACAGTTTTAGAGCGGTTTAATGAGATTTATGTAGGCATTCCTGAGATGGTGCGATCCGCGCCGCGCCGCATGTGGGAGGCTGCGTTCCCATGGTCTCATCTCTTCTACACTCTTCTTCCATCTTCGCTCCATCCTCACGGCGGGGACGAAAAACCCTCTGGTGATCACGTCCAACTTCTCCAAACCCAGGCCACCCTCAGACGTCATTTTTTTTTGTTTTCATATTATTATTTCGATACAAGAATTTTCTCACATTCCTTTACGACAATTACAATTCGATTTCCAATGTCAACAATTTTATTTTATTTTCCAAGATTTCAAGTTTTGTATTTAAATTTTCTTCATTTTCTCACATTTTTTAGAGAATGAAAATCTGAATCCCAATACTAACAATTTTATCCTAATAATGACAAAATTTGATTTTTTACAACAATTTTTAATTTCAATGTAATCATTTTCACGCATTCTTTAACAACAATGAAAATCCTAATACTAATCCAATAATTTTCTCCTAATAATGACACAATTTGATTTTTTACACGAATTTTTAATTTCAATGCAAACATTTTCACGCATTCTTTAACAACAATGAAAATCCTAATACTAATGCCAACAATTTTCTGATAATTCTCAAATATTTCAAATTTTGTATTACATTTTCTCACATTCTTCAGCAATAATGAAAATCTAAATCCCAATACAAACAATTTTCGTCTAATAGTGATACATTCTTGCACAAATCACCTAATCAATTTTATCATTGTTCTGCCAATCTGCATCATTTTTTTTTATATTAATACAAACATTTTCTCGAATTTTTAGCATACAACATTGTTCGATCATTTTCCGGTCTTTCTGATAATCTTCAACAATTTTCAGATAATTTTCCAAGATTTCAAATTTTGTATTTCAATTTCCTTCATTTTCTCATATTCTTTAGTGAGAATGAAAATCTGAATCCCAACACGAACAAATTTCTTCTTATAATGATACATACTTGTACAAAATGTACAAAAAATACCCAACAAATTCGACCGTTTTTCTGAAAATTTGAATCAATTTGTTTTTCTCGATTTTTTTAGCATTCAAATTCAAACATTATTCGATCATTTTCTGGACTATCTTAAAAAATTCACTGTAAATATTTTCTTCTAATTTTGCATAATATTTCTATTAATTATTTTACACCAATTATTAATTTCACACAAGCATTTTCATAGCAACAACTAAGATCCTAATACTAGTGACAATAATTTTCAGACAATTTTCCAAAATATAACATTTTGTATTTAAATTTTCTTCATTTTCTCACATTCTTTAGCGAGAATGAAAATAAGAATCACAAAAATTTCTTCTTACAATCTGCATTTTTTTATGTTAATTCAAACATTTATTTGAACATTTTCTGGACTCTCTAACTTCAATATATCCATGTAAATACATTCTTTTAATTTTCTATGATTCTTGTATTAATTCTCCAATAATTTTCCGGATTCTTTTACACAAATTTTTCAATTGTATGTAAGCATTTTCACGCATTCTTTAGCAACAATTAAGACACTAATGCCAAACATTTTCTGCTAATTTTATAATATTTTTCAGATTATCTAACTGGAACTATTTACAATATTATTTCGATTTCAATGTAAATATATTTTGCATTCCTCGACGACAATTAAAATCCGCATCATTAACAGAAAATTAATAGAGAAATATGCATAATTACTGTACGCGTTATCCTCCCTCCCAATGAATGCATCCATCCAACTCGATTCGATAATTTCGCCTAACTATTCATTACGACTCATTTGATTTCTAAATTATACCTTCGCCAACGGTTTTTCATCGATGCGTACGACCTCCAAGAAAGTCCACGTTCACGAAGCTCATTTTCTTAAGCACGCATAACGTTATTTAGCACTAAGCAAAAACACTGCTTGCAGTATTATATTTTCTTTACTATTACTCGACATATGTTTACATAAGTTTTTACTTACAAAATAATATTCAAAACAAAAATATTTCTGATTTCTACAGACTTTTTGTCAATTGATTTTATAAAACAATTTATTGAACTATTTAAGGATTTTCATATGGATAAAAATGAAGGCCAATAAAAATTATAAAATAAATAAATGAAGAAAAATGTTAATTGATGTGACAGCTGTCACTGTTATAATTTTTGTCACAGCTGTCACCTACTGTCAAAGCGACGAATTGGTGAAATACTTTTAGCAGTCGGGTTGCGTGGCAAAAAGGTAAACTAACTATTAATATCAAAAAATAATCTCTTTAAAATATTGAAATAGTAATGAGTTACATATTTATCTTATACATCTTTTTGTCCAGGATCTTCTATTATCACAACAATAAGTTGAAGATGAATTAATGATTATATCATTCATAGCCATAATGGGTCATTGAAAATATGAAAAATACATCTTTTAGTTGCAGTTGTTATGAATTTATTAAGATTCGGTGTATTTTCTTTGCTAAACATTAAGTTGTTGTAATCGTAGTCTAGACAAGTTTTTCTCAAACTTTTTGGTCCTCGGATTAAAAAGTTGGCTCTATGTTGGGAAACACTGCTCTAGACTGTAGAAATCCAGACTAAGGAAGATATAGTGAAATAATGAGATAGTAATTTCTGATTTTGTAGTTTCCGTAATAGATGTTGGAGACAATATTCTAGGTGTGTAGTGTGTATATTTATTTATTTGTATGTATATTTTATGAATTAGAAGTGTGCTTCGTTTTCTATAGCAGTGTTAATTGTATTTATATTGTGTTAAAAGTTTATTTATTTGCCGGCCAATAAATATACGGGCGCTCAATTGTTTCGAAGTAATCTACTGCAATGAATGATGTATCTAGTTAGCTGGAAAGTGGTGTACGTGTGTGTACAACAAACCAGTGTATGTTGTTATATGCAAGCGAGCAAGTTAGTAAGTAAAGGAATATAAGAAGCCGATAGAGTGTGCAGATAAATAACGATTTCAAGTTTCCTTTGCGGGCGTCTTTCAAAGCGGCACAGAACAGCACGACTGAGACAACGAGATGCATCAGACTCTTGTTTGTCTTGTGTGTTAAAAAGAGAGTGAGAGATAAAGCAGAGAGGAGAGTGAGGACGACGGTCTTTGCAGATAGTCGCGAGGTGGTGAATATATCGGAAATGGCGTATAATTAATTGGCGCCTTTCATCATTTGATAGGTAGTAGTAGTAGTATGTAGGTAGCTGGAGGATAGCAGGACAGCAGGAGACTCACTTCGTTAGGGTTTCCAATGAGGAAGTGTATATCGTCCCACCGACGTCTATGTGGACGGGCGCCGTGTAACGAGAGGCTGCCGCCACACACGGTATTCCCGTCATCTTGTTATAATTAACGGCCGGAGGCGTTGGCGACGAGGAATTCGACATCGTCGGTGAGGTGGCCGGTGAACTACTTGGTGACATCAGTCTGAAAACACATAAACATTATTGTATTAGAAACTCGTTTATATACAATAAGATGCATACAGTTACATAACGAACCAGCACTAAACACTTATCATAAGCAACATGAAGATAGATTTATGCTATTGCTTTATTGATAACCAGTAACAAACAGTTAAATAAAACCCAATATTTAATCTTCTTTTGAAATCTTCTAAGAAGTAAGTACAGTATTTCTTCAGATGTATAACTAATTACAATTCAAATATATAACAAAATATTTATCCTAAATACGATTAACGAAAGCATTCTACTTCGTAAAAATAATACTATAGCCAGAACAAAGATAAATTTCATGAAATAACCATAAAAAGGAAAATCACATATTAAAATATAAGTCTAAAGTTGATTGTTTGTACCATTTTGTAAAGTTTCATCTGTTTATCTGTTCTGTTCATCTGTTCAAACTAAGTAAATCATTCTTAGTTTTTAAGCATTTTCTATTAGTTTATTTCCTATAAAGATATAATTATAAAAGGTGTCCCAAAAGTAATTGACCTTTTTTAATTTGCCGCGTTTTCGCAGTAAAACCATAGTATAGATTTTTCATATGCTGTCATTAGTAAACATTGAGATTAAGTTACACTTCAAAAATGATGAAAATTTTACGAAAACTGTTTACAGGTCATCATCGTACTTTCTTTGGTCATCGTACTCGTTACACCGTGCTGAATTTAATCAATTCTTTCACTTTTGCGGTTATCTTAAGATAGAGTGTACATAAAAAAACACAAACCATTGAGGATCTCAACGAAAAAATTCGACACAACTTTGCCAGCAGTTATGTTGAGATGTTATCGAAAATTTCATATCAGAATAAACATGTGCTGCCAATGCAGTCAATTTATCAGATGTTTAGAAATATATATAACTTCCATGTCTCTACTTTGTAATTAAGCAAAAACATTATCAATTTTCAAAGAAAAATATGTTTTATTAAAAAATTAAAATATCACTTCATTTTGGGACACCTTTTAAAACAACTGTTATTTGACAAGTGCAGAAAATAATTAGTTTATTGATAAATATCTAACCCATTTCATTCATTTTCACCACTTGTTTTGTTATTTTAATCGAAAATATAGAGTAAATTGACTATAATTCAACTCAAAAGTTAATTTTTAATTGTTGGAAAATAATGGGTTATGGTAATAAACAGATTGATTTCAATTGAATGATGATTAGGTGTGTACGAAATGTATATATGCATGCATGCAGAACATTAATAAAGGTAGATCGTTATTAGTTACGTGGATTATCATTATTTTTGTTCTGGAGTCAATGGAATAGGTGGGCAAGAGAGTATACACCTTTATGGTATTAATAACTAAGTGTGGGCAACTCTTGGATTACCATAATGGTGTGTTAAACACAGACGCAAGACGAATTTGCATATGTTTACATATAAGTAGTATATAATTGACATAATTTAGAACAATAATATGCTCGTGCTCTAATCAAAGATATTTCGGTTTATTCCTTATGTTTTTTATTGTTTGTTGTTGTTTCTGATCATGAAAATACTGTTAGTGTATGTTATAAGTATGCGGAAATGTTGGGAATGCAAATAAAACGCGTTGGGTGGAAACGATGATAATCGATTGGAATCGCGTAATTTGTCCGCTTATTCAGCAAAAGTGGTCGGTCAGATCGTGTGGTTGCTACCAGTTACTACTAGTACAATAAATTATACGAGTCGCGCGAATGGATGGTTCCATCATGCAAATCGCGGATCGTTCATTTAATTAAAGATCTTCATTAACATATAAATCCAGAAGGAAACTGCTCCCCTAGCAACCAATAAATTTTCAATAGATTTGCGTGGATCGTGTAGCGTCACTTCCTCGACTCTTTCATCTCGAAATACGCTCTAATGTGTTTAATTTATGGAGAGATTGGACTTGGATGTGTCTGCCTAGGATAAAACGGAATTGCTGAGGTGCTGTTTGTGCACACGCGGATTAAACTGAGACTCTTTCTTACAGCCGTTCTGACCTTAAGATCGTGGGAATTACAATCAATTTATTATTTTACACTTAATTGTAATTATTATTCATATAGTAATAATTTCTTTATCATTAATTATCTTTATTTGTACAAGAAATGGTATTAATTATTAACAATCTATAATATTTCATGATAAAATATCATTAATAATAGGATATTAATAATCGATAATTTTTATAAACAAGTATTAAAGTATTATTTTTGGATAGATCACTTAAATAACATTTAAACTTTGTTACTTCGCGCTTTCGCCTGTGCGCTTTTGTCTACGCGCTTTTGTCTACGCGCTTTTGTCCTTCAATTACTATACTTTTACAACACATTTCTTTAAAGTTCTATATTTATTTTATAGAAAACTATTTCAATTATTCGACTTACATTTTGTCAACATTTCAAAACAAAGTAAAAGCTATTAATTAATACAATAAATTACAAATTATTATAGAAAAATTATTTGTAATACGAAATATTTTCAAATTGTCATATCGAAATTGATAAATTTTTACTGTAATTATGATTTGGTACATCATTTTTTTAATACAGATGTATTAATGTGTAACCATTTACTTTACAACAATGTAGTTATTAATATACAAACTTATTATTATTTAAAAAAGAACATATAATCAAGTATTATAAAAATTTGGAAATTTAATTTCTGTTGAGGTTTTCTTTATGACAATTTTCATTAAATGTGTTTATAACAGATTGTCTAATTGTATTAATATAATTTCTGATGATTCAACAATGCAATAGAATCAATTTGAAAAAAATATCAAATTTCTTCATTTAACATATTATAAATTCAATAGAAAAGATAAGTAATTGAAAATTAAATTTATAGATTTGGAAAGTGAACGAAAATTATAAGGAAATATAATCTTCTATTTTAGATTTTCTGCGCTATTTTATTCAATTACTATACTTTTTCAAAGTATAGAAAATTGAAGATATAGATTTTATTGTATGAATGAATAAAAATGACTATAATTTTAAACATTCTTTGGAAAGTGAACGAAAATTACAAGAAAGCATAAAAAATCTTCTATTTTTGTTGATTCCTAAATTTAATAAATAGAAAATTACTGTAAATCAAAATCCAAAATGTTTTCATTCAGAGATTCTATAAAAATCTGTATGAAAATGAAGGACAATTAATATTGATGAAGAATATTGAAAGGCAAAATTTCATTTAAATAATTCATTTGGAACAATTGAATTAATAGTGTAACTCATGAATACACTTAACATATTTGAATATTACGAGTATGCGTGTGTTTGTGTGAGCGTACAAGAAACTGAGACAAATTGTAGATGTGATTAATGTCGCGTAGAAATGACACCGGTCGATGGATAAAATACACCCGTTGAATAATTAAACGCTGAACTTACGATCAAAGATCGTATCGATAATATTGATTAATCGTCGCAAATCTCTCGGAAGAAAATCTATAATAATTACGAACATTTCTTATACTTCCTTTTTACATTTTCTCTCTCTCTTTCTTTCGATTCTATCATCATTAATAATCGTGGCTATTATTATTAACAGTATTGATATATTACTGCAGTTTTCGTATCTAGCACTATACAAGTGCGAAGTAAGAATCATGGATAGCTTTTTTTTGTTTTGTTTATTTGCATCATTCATTACTAGATGCTATTAACAGATGTAATTATAAATGGTTCATGGAGCTTATTTGTATCTTCGATAGGCAATTAATTGGTGAGACTTAACGAAGTAGAAGGTATAATTAACATATTAATAATAAATTGAAACTAAAATAACTTTATAAGGAAATACATATTACAAATTTTAAGACGAGAAATCACAATATAAAGTCTAATTATATAATTGTACAATGATATTAGAAAAAAAGTTTGAGAGCAACAGTGGTTGTGAAAGGTGGCAACAACATACATCATGAAGTTGTCGAGGAAGCTTAGCTCGGAGGAGTTAAGCATGGAGATGATCATTATTCGTTAACTAGTTTAAGTCACAGTATTAAGAATTGTATTAAGTATAGAAGTGTAAGAAACGCCATCCTTGAAACCTCACCCCAATTTCTTGATTCACCCGCGCAACTTTGTACTTCGTCAAAAAGAACATAGTTTCATCATAATGAATTATCTTTACAAGAAATGCTAATAATTATTATTGCCTCATTAACATTATTTAATGATAAAAAACATTAAATACTATGAGTAACAAGTAATAAATTATTTTTGGATAGCGCTATTTTTTCAATTACTATACTTTTTCAATACATTTCTTTAAAGTTCTACATTTATTTTATGGAAAACTATTTCAATTTTTATAAATAAATTGAAACTAAAGTAACTTTATAACAAAATAAATAATACGAATTTTAGGACCAGAAATCATAATGCTTTGAAATCGAATATAAACTGTGATTCATTAGAGATTCATTTTAATCATTGATTAAAAAATAGTTTCATCAAAATGGATTTGTAAAAAGATTTGTCATTCATTTTATATGACACATATGTGGCAACACTGTTGACAGATCCTTATGTTTTCTGGATAGTACCAACATTCAAATAATACGTGTCAAAATTGACATTCTGACAATTAGTTTACAGGATAGAGTTGTTTTAGTGACGCCAGTTTTATAATTTTCAAAACAAAAGATAAAAAAAGTATTTCGTGTGTTGATTAATATATAATAAATATTTGAATCGTTTTCTGCATTTAACGAAAAGTTAAGTAGAAATACTTTCTTGCATTTATAATACATTATTTAAATTACACGTATGTAGCCCTAAAGAAAACCATCAACCAAAAGAATAAAAAAGAACTCGATGTGAGAAATTTATTGATTTAATTATTCAGCGAAGAAAGCAGGCAGAGATCAGAAAATGCAAATGAAATGCAAATTACCATTCTTCGACCCCCACAGATCGCATTCTTTCCTATCCTCTCTGTTCTTCGCCATATATTTTTTTTTTTTAATTTTTTATCTTCTCCTTCCATACTCACTGCATTAATATTAGGGTTTATACAAAAACTGATTTCTAAAAAGAAAACCGGTTTTCGAATCTCAACTTTTCTACAAAACCGGTTTTCAAATTTTCCCAAAAATAAAATAGAGAAAAAGGATTTTTACAACTTATTTTCTATTGCTTACACGGATTCTTATCTATTTGTTTTAGCACAACAGTTGTTGTAAAAGGTGGCAACAATGTACAACAGTTGTCAAAGAAGCTTAGCTCGGAGTAGTTAAGCATGGAGAAGATGAGTTAAGATTCGTTAAGTAATATTATTAGTTTAGTAGTTCAATAGAGTGTTAAGTTACCTTCGAGAAGAATAGTTTAAATATATAGTGTAAGCGATATATGTAAGATGTAGTTAATAAACACCAAAACGATTTCTTTGGTCCTTCATCCAAAACACTATTTCTTTCCAGAAATATAAGAAACTCACTTACTACCAAACATATCAACTAAATTATTTGTTCTTCTCTTTGAACCTTCTAATACTAAAAATATTGAAGAATTTTTTTTTTCAAAGCAAAGCTATTATTTCTTTTTTTTAGATAATTTTGGTACAATCTTGATAATATTAGTCCAAAAAACTTAATGATTTCTAAACTAAAACCTTAAAACTAATTTCAGTTTTCATTTTATTCAATTCACGGAACAGACTCGATTTTGTGTCAATGTTTGTATGTTTTTAAGTATATAATTAAAATAATTCATTAATTTTTATATTAAGTTTAGTCTCAAAAACCGGTTTTTTACCTGGAAAAACCCCAGTTTTTTAATTTCATAAATTACCTCAAAAAAACCGGTTTTCAAAAATCGACAAACCCTAATACACAAGAAGAATAAAATCTCGCGTTACATATGTAAAAGATACGAAATGTATATTAGCGAGAAGCACGTTAACCAGCTGCTGTAGACCTGACCGTATTCAAGGTATAAACGATAATGTAATGTGATATAATTTGCTTTAACTCGGAACAAATTGGACCATCATTTCGAGCTGCCGAAGAACAACAAGAAAGAATAAAGCGGAGTAGAAAAAATGTGGGAAGGATATTAAATAAATTTCAATCATAATTTCNNNNACCATCTGTTGCCGTCGTGCAAGAAACGTAATTGGATATTGATTGACTTCAATTTACAATCAAAATCTGTACTAATCAATACTAACTTATTTGGAAAGTTTGAATCTCCTCTATTTTTTCTTCTTCATTATATTTCTTTAAATTAAATTCATTAACAAAAAAACGTAAGTATTGATATTGTTTACTTGATTAAATTAAATTCATTACCAAAAAAACGTAAGTATTGATATTGTATACTTGATGATGTTTTAATTTAATTTTATACAAAAAGTGTAGAAAAACGTAAATTATTAAATAGAAATAAATTATCTTGAAAATTCTCTCAGTACTTTTACCACTTGAAAAAAATATCAAGTAAGATAAAATACAGTAAAACCTTAACGAGCAATTCGCATAACGAGAATTTTGCTTAACGAGCAAAATGAATTGTAAGACAAATTACTCGCTTTACGAGCGTCGTTTCGCATAACGAGTGACAATGAGAAGAGATGTCCAGATGCGCGCCTGCTACATCATTTTTAAAACTTGTAAACACAAATTATATGTGTATTTTTGAATATGTTTCACTATACGAGTAAAAATCCGGAAATTTTGGAACGGTTTAAACTCGTTAAACGAGTTTCCACTGTACTTCTTTATTTTAAATTATTAGATTCCAAACTGAAGAATTTCAAATACAAAAACTATAAGAATAGTTTTACTTTTTTCTGTTCTTTGTTTTTGCATTTTGAGATAAATGAAAGAACAATTGAATCAATAAAAATAAAGTGATATTGAATATACTAGAAAACATAATTTGTAAACTTTTATTAGTGCTTAGCATATGATATGAAGTAATTAAGTAGGAATATCTGTATCAAAATCAATGATTCAATACAAATGGTAATTTTAATTAAAATGTAAATATTAACTTTCAGAAAAAATGAAGAATCTTTTAAAAGTAATTCTATAATGACAAAATACTGCAAAATAATGAATACTAATTAAAATAATGACACTATTTAGATTATTTGTAAGAAAATTCTAAATTTAAGTCCTGTACATACCTCATTTTAATTTGTGTGCTTGGGAACATCGTACGATTAGTTAAGTCTTTTGGCTCCTTTTCCAGGTCATTTCGTGCAATGTCCACTTTCTTCCTGAAAACAATCAAGAAAAACGATATTGTTATTATTGTGATAATAGAAAAATGTTGTTAAATTAATATATATTATGAAAATGAATGGAATAGTTTGTAAAATCAGTGTAATTGCTGTAAGATTTATATAAGAAACACAAATAAACTTTCATCCTGAAAAAAATAAAGGAGAAAAACAATTATTTTTCTTATTACAATCAAGTGTGAATTTGAATGTACGTAAAAATTGTTATTATGATCAAGAAACAAGAAAATATGACTTTAATGGTTATTTTTCTTAAGAAATGAAGATTTATTAATAATAGTTTTTCCATTTAGTATCATGGATAGAATAATTGGAAAATCAGTGCAATTACAGTTGGAATAACATACAAAAATAAATCCAATTATTTATAGAACTCTATCCCATCTAATATTGTGAATTGAATCGTTGAAAATTGTTATAATTACAGATAAAATTTAATCAATTTTTTCTTTCTAGAAAATTTGGAAAAAACAAGACATTTTTATGTTTGAAAAATTTACACAGTACAATAATTACTATTTAAGTAGTAATTATGTTTTTATTTAACAAATTATTTCATATGATTGAATTGATTAATGTAATTTGAATAGTTGTTAAATTAGAGTAATTATATAATGTTTTATAATATAAAAAAAATGTAATCAATTTTGTTCTAGAAAAATTTGGAAAAAAATTACATTTTTATGATGAAGACACTAGAAAATTGCAAATTAAATTCACCTGTTTCCAGAAAATGACGTAAAGAAGAAAAAACGATATTTTTAATAGTAATCAATTGGTTATTATTTTAAAAAAAATATTCCATCTAATATAGTGAATTGAATTGTTTTTTTTTTTTCTAAAAAAAATATGATATTTTTACGATGAAGAAAATTACAATTGGACAGATATCGTTTATTTATTGAATTCAATGTATTCTGACTAATTGCAATGATTCGAATGGTTGAAAAATTGTAGTAATTAGAGTACGTAAAAAATAAAATAATATAACTCCAGGCTGAGATTATTTGCGAAAGCGGAACGGCAATTTCGCGTCCTGACCAAACGCCGTTTTGGTCAAACTCTCTGTCGAGATGTATTAATTAACATCGCACTGTTTGTACTTATATATATACTATACATTCATATATATATGTGTGTATATATTTGAGTCCCTCAGGATACTAACGACAAAAGGATTTCTAATATGACGAATATTATTTGTATAAAACTGCAAAAGCACAAAAAAAATAATTTGTACAAAGACTAAAAAAATGTACATATTACATACCGCTTTTATTTACTCGAAATTTACATTTATTGAATTCTGTATATATAAATATTTGATAATTATTAGTAGTTTCTTCATTAAAAAAGATTATTTTTAACTGCAGAACAAAAAAACTTAATAACTATATAATAATTTCGGGTCTATATTGAAATCCCAAGAACCGAAATATTGACAAACATAATCCCGACAGTATCTTTTATTATTTCATTTTGACTTATTCATAATAAACCTTAACAATAAGAAATAATCTAAAATACAATTAGATTATCAATTGTTGTTACTGTCGGGATTATAGTTGTCGGGATTTTGATACTGTCGCCATTATAGTTGTCGAGATTTCGAATGTTGGGATTTTGATTGTCGGGATTTATATTACCACCGAATAATTTCATAATTTAAGTCTATGACTTTTTTATGAATGAAAGAAAATTTAAGTAAAATTACTAAAGAAACAGCAGAAGCATAGCTTAATACAGTTGCGAATGTAAGGAAATAAATAAAATAGTCATCGTCTCTTGGTTTATTGTTGTTCTTTTGTTTGGGTTCGGTCGAACGATTCAAACATTATCACTGGAACCTGGCCGATCATGTACGTACTGTTGTAACGGGCCATAAAAGGCAACGTGTAAGGTTAATTAAAAGCGCATTAAACATGATTTATGTCTACACAATAAGATGTTTTTCTTTGTCTCTCTATCCGCCCGTTTCTACTTCTTCCAACTTCGCCGTCCTCTTTGTCGTCGTCGTCTCAGTCTCAGTCTCCGTACGTTTCGGAACGCCTCATTATTTGTGTTTCCAGTTAAAAGAATGCATTTAAACTGAACTAACAACCTCGTCTATCTGTGTACACATCGTACATCTTAGCTTATCCCTTTTATTTGTTGCTGCTCCTTTTATGATTTAAGATACTTAAGATCTTGATTTCCATCCAGTTTCTTTTTTGTTCACTACAATTTATTAAACTCCAACTTTTTTCTTAGTATTACTTTTACCCTTTTTTTAAATAACTTTAGTACAATTATCTAAATACTTTTTCTGAATGAAAACACATTTATATAGTTAAAATCTTCAAAAAAATAATTAATATATGAATTTTAAAATAATTGCAATCATATGAATTGTTTAATCTTAGACCAGCGTTTCTTAACCAGCAGCAAACAAACATTTTTGTTGTACTATAATATTTGACACTTTGACGTGATGTAAACATTTTCATAACTATTTTTTTTTACTATTTTAAAAGCATATTCTTTGCTATTGGCTTTTTATAGAACAGCGTTTTTCAACCTTTTTGCTATTCGTATGTTGTTGTACTGCGACCCAATTGCTAATAACATACAATTTTTGACAGCTAGATGAAAGCTGTCATTTCGAAACCTATTGATAATTGAACTCGACCCATAGGCTGATAAACGCTGATCGAAATAGAAGTAATATTTGTTTAGGTTACTTCTCCTGACTGAAAACACATTTATAAAAACTTCTAATCTTCAAAAGATTAATTTATATATGAATTGAAAGACAATCGCAAAGATTTCATAAAAAAAATAACATTACACAGTTTGGAATAGCATTTTTGACACTTTGACGTAAGGTGACAGCTGACATTTTCAGACCCATTGAAAATTTTACTAGACTGCTCGATATATAAGAAATTTCTGTAAGTTTCTTCTGACTGAAAACACATTTATAAGAACTTCCAATCATCACAAGATTAATTTATAAATTGGAAGAAAATTGTAAACATTTTTTTTACAATTTTAAATTCATATTCTTTGCTATTTGCTTTTTATAGAACAGTGTTTTTCAACATTTTTGCTGCGCAAACTAACATATTCGTATGTTGTTGTACTGCGACCCAATTGCTAATAACATACAATTTTTGACAGCTAGATGACAGCTGTCATTTAGAAACCCATTAATAATTGAACTCGACTCATGGGCTGCTCGAAAAATAAGACATTTCGGGAAACGAATGCATTTTTTAGATATTTTGACCTTTTCAAAAAAGAAGCAATGATATTTGTTTCTTTTTTAACGGTTTTAATATAAATCTAATTTATTTAATCTATCTAATCGAATTTTAAGTTTATTTTAAGTTTCTGAGTTTTCGTTTTCTGTTTTTAACCTTTACTTAGATTATGAAAATCATTGATTGTATTATAGTTATTAAAGAAAAAAAATGCAGCTAACACTCATAATATAGTAAACTTTAGTTACGAACGTTTAATAAAATACAATGCAAAATAGAATTTTTATATTTTGTGTATAAGTACTTTCATCGTCTAATAATGAAAACTTTAATTAAATATATGATTGATTGATTGATTGAAATAATAGTTACAATTACTTAAAATAATGATAATAATTTTTCCAAAATGTTGATAAACATAAATTTTGATCAGACAAACTTAAATTTCTCTTTTTTTTAGTGAAGTGGTGATATGTTTAAACATGAACGCATATAGTTGTATAATTTACATGTTAACTGTGCGAATTGTGTGTGGAATTGCATTGCGGTCCAGGCGTTGTTCGTGATCTGGCAGGCCTGGCCTTATGGATCACGGTGTCTGCATGTCCGAAGATAGAGATCTGAATTATTCGGAATGCAAATTGCGTGTAGTATCTGCGGCAATCGCGATTCGGAACGATTTAAACGATCATAATAATATCGAGCACGTGGTTCACATAGTACCATTCTTTATATTGTTTCGATCGTTTCATTCCCAACATATCTACACACAATACAAACAAATAATATTATAAATAAATCAGACAGAAAAATAAAACAAGACTATGTCTTCTGAGGCCGCATTTAATATCTCAGCAGAGTGAATGAAAACTGAGGCCAATTTCATCCAGATTTATTTCTTTCTTTCTTTCAACAATCTCTAAAAACATCTTTCTATTATGAGTTTAGATTATGTAAATTTCATCAAAGTTTATACAATTCTAAATAGTCAACAAAATAGATTAATTGTATTGTTATTACCACCTACGTCTGCATAATTTGAAGTGGTTTTCGCAATTGATGGAAATTCATGTTATGTTTATGGGTGATGTAAGCGTATCCGTTTACATCTGCATTTCGGGAAGTGATGCAAAGTTTGGATTCGTTCAACGAAATCGAATATTAATTGCAGGAATTCGTGGTCTTGGTATGAGGATGTTATAAATCAATCTCTGTTTCCTCTCTAAGTATAATTGAATTTCTGAAAATTTGCATGTAATGTTAATGCAATTTATTTCTAATAAAACACTATAGAAAAACAACAACAATTATTATTTTTTCACATAAAATTTGTGTTTTGATTTAAGAACTACTTAGATAAATGTATTTAGAATATATTTATTTGAAAAGAAATATTCTAATTATTTTCAACTAAAAGTAAAGAAAACAAACTAGAATTATTAGTAAATAATTTGAGAAGATTTTTTTTTTTTTGATTTTATAATTATTTATTAGGTGGCGTACATGTGAGCTTGAGCTCATTTAGCCAGTTAAATTTGAGAAGTTAAATTAAACAAATATATAATACCCATCATCAAGGGTCAGAATGACCCACCTGATATTTGTTTTCAATAGGATTCTATTTACTCTAATTTAGGATTGCATTTTTCAATAGGAGCAAAGGAATCGCGATGAAAGATATTTATTTTATTGTAGAACGCATTTAAAACGTTCTTGAAATCAGTTTCAAATGAT